GAACCTTGCAGATGAGTGATTGATCCACTAATAAATTAGGTGATTTGACGATGTTTTTAAATGCTTTCTCCAAAGCTTGAAACGCTGTCAGTGATGTCATCAGCACACAAGCAGCCAATAGTGTTCAACTTTTTCTGACGACTCCTCCCTCAAAATTTCATTCGCTGTGGTTTGGTAGCTTGAATGAGCTGATGGGGAATGAGTTGTAGTCAGATCATGTAGTGTGTGACCCCCCTCTTGTGGATCACAGTGTTGCGTAGTGTGAACACCTCAGAGATTAAAAGACACAAAGTCAAGTCATGTAGTGTGAACGGCACAGCGATCTGCTGATGTTTAAAATCCTGTAGTGTGAACTAGGCTTAAAATGCGTTAGGAATAACGAAAAGTAGACAGTCTGTCTGTAATGATTCATTTTGATGAAAACAAACTACCGGAGAGGGTGTACTTAGGATATTTGAGCTACAACGTTAGGCTATATGTCCCCCCGCCAAAACGCTGTTACAAATGCCAAAAGTTCAGACACGTAGCGGCAGTTTGTAGAGGGAAACAGAGATGTGCGAGATGTGGGGGAGACCATGAGTATGGTAAATGTGGGCAGGAAGTAAAGCCAAGGTGTTGTAATTGTGGTGGGGAACACAGTGCGGGCTATGGAGGATGTCAAGTTAGGAAAAATGCAGTACAAGTCCAAAATGTCCGAATGGCTGAGGGAATTTCGTATGCTCAAGCTCTAAAGAAAGTTAAACAGACATCAAGAGAAACAGAAACCAGAGTAACAGAATCTCAACAAAAAGCAACGACGAAAGAACAAAATAAAGATAATGAAGTATGTATTGACAAAGTATTGTTCTTCACATTTATAGCAGAAGTAGTTAATTGCTCTGCGCAGACGGAGAGCAGGACCGAGAGAATTAAAATCATTATCAGAGCTGCTTCAAAGTATTTGGAATTAGAGGGTGTTACAGTAGATATGATAAACGATAGACTCAAGATACAATCAGGAACTAGTCAGACAGTATATAGTCAACCATGTGGAAGTATATAATGGTATTAACAATACTGCAGTGGAATGCAAGAAGCCTAATTGCAAATGGACAAGAATTTAAAAAATTCATAGTAGATCATGAAAATAGCCCTGACATTATATGTGTTCAGGAAACTTGGCTTAAGTCACATTTAGATTTTGTAATTAATGGATACACTTCGGTAAGAAAAGATAGAGACAAATCTAATGGTGGTGGGGTAGCTACATTTATTAAACAGAGTATTGGTATAGGGCAGTTAAGATCACTGGGGAACAAGAAGCTGTGGCAGTTGAAATATGCGATGGAACACAGAAAGTTAGAATAATAAACTATTATAATCCATGTGATAAATTAAGTAAGGACAATCTAGAACATATCCAAGGGAATGGAAATCATAAAATCGTGTGGTGCAGGGATTTTAATGCTCACAACACTTTATGGGGGAGTAAAAAACAGATTACAATGGACTAATTATAGAAGATATGCTGGATTGGGGAGGATTAGTATGTATTAATGATGGAGGTTACACAAGAGTAGAGTTAATAAAAGGAAAATACTCAAATTTAGATTCAACACTAGTTTCTGAAAGCCTAGCTGGAAGATGCGATTGGAAAGTATTAAAGCAAAACACAATTGGTTGTGATCATTATTCAATTCTAAGTTCAATTGGAATGCAGATAATTCGAACTGTGGTAGAGAGAATGCCAAGGTGGAAATTTAGAACAGCCGACTGGGAAAATTTTAAGGAATTGTGTAATAATAGATTGTCTGAAATAGATAGATGTGAGGATGATGTGGAAGTTATTAATTCTAAACTTTGTGAAGTTCTTAAGAGCACTGCGGAAGAAGTAATAGGAAGAAAGAAAGCTAATGGTAAGAAGAAAGCAGTTCCTTGGTGGAATGAAGAGTGCAGCGAAGTAGTAAGTAAAAGGAATAAAGCATTAAAAAAAGTTAGAAAAACATTAAATTATAATGACTTTATAAATTATAAAAGAGCTCAGGCAATAGTGAGGAAAATAATTAGAAGGGCAAAAAAAATTTATTAGAGAGAGTACTGTGACAGTATTGGGGAGGATATCAATGTATCTGACATATGGGGTATGATAAGGAAAATGGCAGGAAAACAAAGAAATAATAATATTCCTACATTGACAGAAAATAACAGATTAGTAATTTCTGATATGGAGAAAGCTGAAGTTCTAGCAATTTTTTTTCCCAGAATTCATAGTAACGCTAACCTATCTGAAGAAATTAGAAGAAATAGGAAACAGATCTTGATCAGGAATCCGTGGTTGTTGGAAAACAAAGGGCCATCTGAAAGTACATTAGATAGGGAATTTACATTATTTGAGTTAAAAAAAGCATTGGCAGAAGGTAAGAAAACCTCCCCTGGAAAAGATGAAATTTGTAATGAAATGATCAAGCATTTATCAGATAATTCATTATGTATAATACTAAAATTATTTAATAAAGTATGGGAGTCAGGGATTTTACCAGCAGGGTGGAAACACGGTGTCATAATACCAATTGCAAAACCAGGTAAAGATCATTCACAACCAAATAACTACAGACCCATAGCATTAACTTCTAATATTTGTAAATTAATGGAACGCATGGTAATGAGCAGACTGGTTCATGCTATCGAGAAGGAAAACTTTTTTGCCACATATCAAAGTGGTTTCAGGAAGGGACGTAATACAATAGATTCAGTGATTTGTTTGGAATCAGAAATAAGAAAGGCACAAGTAAATAAGGAAGTGTTGGTGGGAGTATTTTTCGATATTGAAAAAGCATATGACATGATGTGGAGAGAAGGACTTTTAATTAAATTAGAAAAAATGTAAATTAATGGGAAAATGTATAATTGGATCAAGAACTTTTTGTTAAAAAGAACAATACAAGTTAGAGTGGGTTCTGCATTCTCCCAAATATATAAGGTAGAGAACGGAACACCACAAGGGAGTGTTAGTAGCCCTATCCTATTTAATATCATGATAAATGACATCTTTTCAAAAATGGAGTTGGGGATCGGGAGATCTTTATATGCAGATGATGGTGCGCTATGGAAGAGGGGAAGAAATGTAGTTCATGTAGAAAGGTGTTTGCAGAATGCAGTTAGGAAAGTACAAGATTGGGCAGATGAGTGGGGGTTTAGATTTTCTACTGATAAAACTCAGGTTATTTGTTTTTCAAAAAAGAAAGTTAATCCAAATTTAAATATTAACATATACAGACAGAAAATAGAACAGGTATCAGTAATTAGATATTTAGGAATGTGGATGGATGTAAAACTGAATTTTAATATGCATATTCAAAAAATAATAGATAAATGTAAAAAAGGGAATAAATGTGATGAGGTGTTTGGCAGGAGCTGAATGGGGTGCATGTAGTTTCTCGCTTAAAAGAATCTATAATGCACTGGTAAGATCTACTATAGATTATGGATGCGTAGTATATAGTTCCGCAGCTAAAACTCAGTTGTTGAAAATAGATGCGATTCAATCTCAGGCACTGAGAATATGCTGTGGAGCATTAAGAACTACACCAATTATAGCATTACAAGTAGAGATGGGGTAAATGCCTCTTAATGTTAGAAGAATTAAGTTAAAAATGAGATATTGGGTTAGCATTAAAAGCCAAGAAGAGAGGCACCCAGTAAAGACAGTACTAAAGGAATGTTGGGAATATGGACATAAAAAGATAGATAGTTTTGGTTGGACAGTAAATGAGGAGGCTCAAAATATGGGCATAAGAGACATCAATTTAGCCCCTGCTGTGCCAACCTCTACGATTCCGCCTTGGCTTTTCCATATGCCAGTAGTCGATTTATTACTACATGAGGAAAAACACAAAACTAATATGTTAAATGAAAAAAGAAATACAACAATACATAAATCAGTCATATTTCAATTATTTACAGATATATACAGATGGGTCAAAAGATCCTAAAGATGAAAAAACGGCAGTAGCAGTTTACATCCCAAAATTCAATATTAAAATATCAAAAAGAATATCGGACCGACTTTCTTTGTACACTACAGAAATAGTAGCTATACTTCTTGCTCTTTAGTGGATAGAAGAAGTGAAACCATTAAGATCAGTAATATGCTCGGATTCTCTGTCAGTACCAAACGACTTAATTACTGGAACATCTAAGGCAAGACAGGACATAATGAATGAGATAATGCTAAATTTATTTAGAATCAGACAGGGTCAGACAGGGGACTTTTTGTAAGCTTCTTGTGGATTCCTGGTCATATGGGAGTAGTAGGTAATGAAGAGGCAGACCAACTTGCAAAGTAAGCATTAAAACATAATCAAATAGAAATAAAAATAAGTAAGGCAGAGATAAAAAAAAAACATAATTGCAAAAGAAACGGGTAGAATGTGGCAAATGGAGTGGGATAATGGAGAAAAAGGCAGACATATGCATAATATTCAAGGATGTGTGGGTGGTACTAGAAATAAGTTTGGTAATAGAAAGAATGATGTGGTGATAACTAGGTTGCGTGTTGGTCATTGTTTGCTAAACCAGTATAAGTTTAGAATAGGGAAGCAGGAGACAGGATGTTGTGATAAATGGGGGAAAATAGAAACATTAGAACATGTAATTACAGAATGTGTGGCATATGAAAATCAGAGATATCAATTAGTTCAAGGATTAAGCATTTATGGGATTAAAAATTTGTCATTTCAGACCCTATTAGGAAACGGTTCAAATCAAGTTAAAATAATAATGCAATTAATTAATTACTTAAAGGAAACAAAATTGATTAATAGAATTTAAGAATAGCTTAGCAAAATAAGGAATTAAAATTTGATATGGTATTTAACTTGTATTTTTTTTCTTTTTTTTCTCCTCTCCTCCTACTCTTCTTCCTGTTCTCTCTTCCCTTTGGTAATCTCATCCCTCCATTCGTATCATATCTTTTGTACTCATGCTTTTTCCTACATTATGCGCTCCACACTCCTATCCAGTAGGTGGCGGAAATGCACCATATAAGTTGGTCTGCCAACCACCATTAACCCCATAAGAAGAAGAAGAAGAACACAAAGAAGAAGAGGAAGTTTTGCAGTTTGCATTATTGATATTTTAATTAGCCAAAATGAGCAACTCACAACCTTACAGACGCTTTAGTGATGAAAATTACAAAAACTGGCTAAAAATAGCAGAGAGTCTTCACATACTGCGAAACAGCATGCAGGACTTTATTGAAAAGGAAACTGAAACTTATCACAAGGCTCTGCTAAACAAACAGCAGCTCAGTGGACAACGTTGTGAGCAAACCTGCAAAAATAATAAGGTAACGTAAATCGTACATAGAAATTGTAAATTGTACCTGGAAATCTAAGCTTAAGTAAATACTGGAGTCGGGGTTCAATCTTCAACTGGCTGGCAGGAGTGATAAAACATTGTTTTGTCATTCAAAACTATTCTGAGAAAATATTAGTGTGAAAGTTTGTAGAAAAATGTTAACACGAGTCCACAGCTGACAAAAATAATGAGTCCTTAATAGCTCAGTTAGTGGAGTCCCCAACAGCTCACATGTCGCTTAATGCGTGTGCTTTAACTACTTGAGTTCGAATCCCGTTGATGACATACACATTATAATTATTTTTTAGATTAATTTAGGTTATATACTGCTGTGTTACACAAATATTAAAATAAAAAAATGTTTACAATGACACTGACATCAAGTAATAAAAATATTTATTTGGTATGGGCTTGTTTTGCTGCTGTGGAAAAAGTAACGAATCTGCCAATCTGCAAGCATGAATAGCTTAACGTTACATCTGGAAAGGGACACCAGCCATAGATATATACACAAAATATCGCATAGGGACCCTAAGCATGCGTCAATAGCGCCGCCACATTGGTACAGCGCTCCCAGGACAAATGTCATTCAACCGCACTAGTCAAGACAGTGTTATTGTGTGAAGATGCGGGACTTTAGCACTGTCTACGGGTGTAGAAACAAGCAAACAAAGAAATCAAAGCACAAAGGCAGAACATTTCATAGGTAATATTAAGTTTTTTTCTGTTTTTGTATGTTCTGAACTTTTGTGCTAATCAGGTAACGTTATTGATGATAACAGTCACTTACTGCACTCACCATAAGGCAAAGCAGCTCAACTCGCACTAAACACTCGGCTTATGCTAGTTTTGTTAAATAAAATCAGCAAACAATGCAAAAGAAATATGAGGCCAGGCTGGTCAAGTTGGTTTTAGCTGGATTTGGCTGGTCATTTTCCAGCCTGACCAGCTAAGACCAGGCTGGAAATAACTGAAAACCAGCCTGGAAATGGCCATAACCCCTCTAAAACCAGCCTGGTCAACCAGCTGAAACCAGCCAACCAGCCTAGGCTGGTTTAAGCTGGATTTTTCAGCAGGGAGAAGAGGAGGTATGTTTCAGGACATGATTAGATCAAATTTAACAGGGAGGGTGAATAGAAAATTTCTGTACACACAAACACAAGCTTTTTGTCAGGAATGCCAGTGCGGTCACTGATCCATCAATGCAGAAAAGTGATGTAAAATTATAATTTTCGTAATTAGAAAAATAAATTTACATACTAACATCCAGGAAAACTCCCGATCATAGATATATGTGTATATGTGCATATCTCTGGCTTTGGATGGCCACAGTCCTCCACTGTACATTGGTCCCGCGTTCATTTCAAAGGAGCGCTACCCTGTAGCAAGATGGCGGCGCTATTGATGCATTCCGTCCAATAGACAACAATAGGCCAGGCAACATCTAATGTATATATCTATGGAAACCAGCAAAGAGCATAGAATCATCAACAGAGGTAAAGTTGGTTTTAAATTCATACATTCGGACTTTCTCCTTAATAATATAATTTCATAAAAGTATTATTTGGAAACTAAATAGCGAAATTATTTGATCAATTATATTAGCAGCCAACGATTATCAGAGTACAACATTGTTCACAGCAAAAAAAAAAAACAGTGTTTATGTTGTTTTCAAGTCACACTTGCAGAATATTTTATACCGAATATTCAAAATACCCTCACCATGGTATACAATATAGGGTGTAGAGGTAAAGTTGGTTTTAACCTACTTATGTGACTTGAAAACAACATTAACACTGTTTATTTTACTGTGAACAATGTTGTACTTTGACAGTCATTGGCTGCTAATATAATTTCAGTTAAACCGTAACACCGGAAGTAACAACATTAAGCCAAAAAATTATAATTATTTAAAAAAATTGGCTAAGACCAAATTTTCCTAAAACTTAATGACTACAATTATTTACAGATTACTGAGCTTTAAAGGTGTCATTTTTGTATACATTTTATTTATCATTAGTAAAATTTGTCTGTTCATCTATTCGCATATTTTTCTACTCGTGTGTATCTTTATCCGTCTATCACTTCTTTGTGGTTATCTGTCTGTCTAGACCAGGGGTGCCCAAACTTTTTCTTATGAAAGGCCAAAAACCAAACTTGATTGTGGGCCGTAGGCCAAAGGTAAATATACCAAACTGTATTACAATAACTTTTCCATGACTAACTAAAAATGTATTTCCTAATGTTTAAAACTAACTACAAAACATTACTTTAAATAACTTCAACTAATGCAGTATATATATTTTTAATGTTTTATAATGAGATTATTACCGTAAAAACATAAATAATCCCATTAACCACAGAATGAAGTTCAATGCTAAATACACTAAGCTGCACATGCCTTTGATTTGGTTTGCTCGCACATGTCTTGTGCATTGGCTTCTATCCTTCGAGTGACAGTATTTACAAGTCAGATTCATTTTCAAAACAAAACAAATGACAAGATAAGCAAAAGATGAAATTAAATTCTAAATGACCATCATTGTCAGAAATATTAACCCCAGCCAAGCTCCTTATCCTCCCTCTCCACTTAAATGGGATGGTGGGCCAAATCAAAGGCTAACATGGGCCAACTTTGGCCCGCGGGCCCTAGTTTGGGCATCTCTGCTTTAGGCAGAAGAAAAAATAACAAAACTATCTGGATATTACAAAAATTCAACATTAGTTTATTATATTTTGTTATCATTTGTTTATTTAGTTAGATCTTCATTAGACATGCCCTAAGCCTAAGGCACTGGTGTCAAACTACTTTCCTGGAGTGCAGCTCTACACAGGTTACTTTAATAAAACACATTTGAACAAACTAATTAAGTCATTTAGGGTTGCTTGAAATCCATGGGTAATGTGTTACAGTAGGGCTGCCGATAAACTCTGCAGGGCTGCAGCCCTCCAGGAACCGAGTTTGACAGCCCTGCCCTAATGCTGATGATACACATGGCAAATTTTTGAGGAATGTTGCTGGACAAGTTTGGGAAATTATGCCATAAGTGGGCAACCAGGTGAGACACGGGGTAACTGATTAGGGCACTGTATTACAGATACAATTTTCTTTCCCATTTTTAAATCTTAAAGTAGCCAAGCAACATCATGCAAAACTGCTACATTTCCCAAAAAGTTGTCCAGTGTATCATCAGCAGTAGGGAACACACACAGCTCTTAAATTTAAACATTATACCATACATAAAGATTAATTACACAACAATGTCAAATTATACACATTGCTTTCTCATAATTTAATGTATCAAATACATTATATATATAATACAATATTTCACCTTCATTAAATATAAACATTTAATTCTTACATTTAACCTCTTATAAATACAGAACTCCCAGTTGTGTCTTAACCTGCTTTTTAGATTTTTTTTTAAAATGTAGAGTCAAAGATTATTGGAGTATCTGTACGTTTCTGACTGTGTACTGCTGCTTCCACCAGTCTCTCTGCCAACTGTGTGAATATTGGAAGAATGAAATTGTGACCAATCACAATGAGGGTGGTAGAAATGTACACTGGGACAATTGCCGGCCACATCTATGGGCCACAAATAAATGGGAAGTTGCAAAGGTAAGAACATTTTATCGTTAAAAACAATCACCTGTTGCGTTAACTTGTTGTATATTTGCTGTCAGTGAACAAATCTATGTCCATTATATTTTTGACTGCGTGTTTTTCATACTTTTATCGACAGGCATACATGCCACGTGGGCACAAACAGCATTGTGAGTTTGCCCAGTTTGATATTTCTGCCATTCTTAACTTTCTGAGTGCCTGTAAACATTTTAAGCCATTTTTGACTAAGGGGGAAAATGTGAAAAAGGTAAATACTGTTTTCTACCCCTAAGATTTTTCTTTTTGATGTTAAATCATTATAAACCTTTTTATCTGTTCTTCTCCAATATTATTATGTGCTGGAAACCGGCTAAACTGTATTGTTACAGATATTCAAACATCAAATGTCACTTTATATAAGATTATTACAACTGTATATTTTGAATAATTCAGGTTATAAATGTTCGGAATGTTGTGATGCACTCCCCTGACCTTAAAATGAACAATGAGGATATGAACAGACACCTTGAAACAATTTTCCAGTTTGCCGATATGCTTAATTCCAAGGTATCAGCACTCTCAGTCTTGAGAGAGAAGATAGAACAGGTGAATGAAATCCAGATTATGATAAGCCTGTTTTTTTTATCACATCCTTTTATTATTTATACTTGATTTCAGCACTTGACTGAAATTTTTTTGTTTTACATTTTCTGAGTAGTTTAACAACATTTTGGACAAGAATTTCAATCAAACAGAAGTAGATGGTCAACATAAAGATCTCAAGACCATGGTAGACTTCCAGGAAGTTCTGAACCGTGAGCAACAAGCCTTGAAAGACAGGATTGAATACTTGATCACACACTTTGAAGGGAACCTTGATAAAAATGTAAGTACATCAGAAATAAAAATAAAATATGAACACTTAACTTTGTTAGCTATTTATGAATTGCCACCATGTTTGTTCTAAACCATGACTTTATGTTAAGGAAAATTCCCCGGACATGACTACTCTCATGGAGTTTTTGCACCAAAACAAAGATCTTCTGGAGAATCTAGGCCCTGAAGTTTACAAACTTAAAGGGATGCAAACAAAGTTAAATCAGCATGAGAAACAGATCAACAACTTGACAAACAGAGTGGACCAATTAGAAAAGGTGAAAGGTAAGAAGTTCCGATACTCTGATTTACAAATTATGTATTACACAGAACATTTGTCATTAATAGAATAATGTTTTTGGACATGCACTTAAAGGAAAGGTTCACTTAAAAAATTTTATTTACTCACTATTCTCCATGAAGTGGTTCCAAACCTTATGAGCATATTTCTTCTGTTGAACACTTCTTTCTTTATTTAAAAGAAAGCTGAAAACCTATATACAAATGTATACAAATACTAAATATTTGTAATACAAACTTTGATACAAATTCAACAGAATAAAGAAAGTCAAACAAATTTAACAAGTGAAGGGTGAGTGAATCATGACAGAACTTTTTTTTTTTTTAAACTATTCCTTTAGCTTTGTTTATTCCATTTGGATGAGAATGTTATACTTTAAACTTATATTAAATGCAGGTTTTCGAACTGCACTTTATGGATATTAAATTCATTAGTCGTAAAGCATAAATGCAAGCATATATGGTAAAAAAAATCTTAAAATTTGTATGTGGTGTATTTAAATATTTTTTACATTTTAAATGTTACATTTAAATTTAATATCTAATAACAAACAAAACTTTTACAAGCAGAATCACACGTATTCTGTCCAACCCTGATCAAACACATAGGGATCAATTAGTTAGGACCTGAGCAGCACTTGATTATTACAGGCAGGTGAGTTTGACATGGGTTGCTACTGAAGGAACAGGGCTGAGCACCCCTGGTTTAAACAGATGCTTTAAAGATACCTAATCTAGGATAATCTGTAATCATTATAGGTATTGTGTATATATTTACACATATATGGTTTTATATTAGTATTAACACTTGTGTCTCAAATTTTTTTTATTTTAACTGCGAGTAGTATAATATGCACATTATAATCTTGAATGACTTTTAATAATCTTTTTGATCATCTGTTTATAAACTTGTTTTATTTCTACAGAGACCACAAATACAGCTGGACAATCAAGCAGTCAAATAACAAGTGAGTGTTTTAATACGTGTTATTGGATGTAGAATGAGTAAATGACCCTGTCAACAGACTTTGTAAAATATGAAATATATTTTGAACAAATGTTTATATTGTTTGGATTCACAGATTATCCCAAGTTTATCAAAGACAACAGAAGTTGGTTGATTAACACTGTGAAGAACATTGATCAAATTCTGGATGATCTCTCTGAGTTACACAGTGAATCAGTTGCAAATGTGAAAGCAAAGCAAACAAAACAAGCGATGATGAGGGAACTGCTTCTGTACGTGAATTGTGAAAGGATTGCTAAAGACCTGTTTAATGCTTTGTTAAAGCATGAAAAACGTCCTATGGAGGAACGGCTCAAGGGCTTATAGGAGCCCATAATCATGTCCGGTGGGGAGGTATGGAAAACAATGGCTGACTGATCACCTGTGTATATGTACTTTTGCCATCAAATAAAGAAGACAGAAGCTATTTCCATCTAAAGGTGTCCATTAAATGTATGCACAAAGCTGGAATATTATTTCAGAATATACCATCATTGCCTTCCAATAAGTCAAAGAACAAAATATATATAATTTTTTTTTAATAATTAAATACTTTTGCCCTGATGACAAGGACATAACTCAATTATAACTGGCTTTTAGTGGCGTAGATGGTCAAGATAATTCTGGGAGGTAATACCAAACCACTTTGATGACAGACTTTGGCTAAAGGATTTTGCAATAAACAAAACAACATAGCTGATGTTTTACAATGTATTTGGTTTATTTGTTTGTCTGTTAATGCCGTTCCATCAAGCCAATTTTTAATTCTATTAAATCAATTATTGAGGAATTTCCTTTTAGCATTTTTAATACGATTTTCCAAAATGTGCATACAAATATTTGGATGGAAACATGGCTACAGAAGTGTTTTATTTATTTATTTTTTGCTTCTGTTACAGACACATCACCAGTCAGCCTTGGATATAATTGAACAAGCTCTTAATCGCCAAAGACACATGAAGCAAAAACCTGTGCACAGCAACGGAACGCACTTGTTTGTCTATTGTTTTGTTACAGGGATGCATTTATTACTGTTATGGAAAGTGCAAATTTTGCCTGCATGAAAGAAATCTCATATAAAGATTTAATATATGGCAACACAAGCAAATCACATATGATAAACAAGTTCATGTTTGGATTTCACAGATATAAAATGTCATATAAGCACACGCTATGTGCAACATGTATTGCAAATCAGCAGTTTATATATACTTTTTTCAATCATTAAACATGTACATACAGTATATGTTGAAATACATTAGCTACAAAGAAAGCAGAGGTAACAGGAATGAAGTTGATCAGATCTTTGATGTTAATGTGGCAGGATTACATCTTACAGTATAAGCACAGGGTAGATTTTTATTGAGTTTAATAATTGGATGTCAATATAACCTAACATCTCGCGTGCATAAAGTGGCAATCATCTTGTATAAGATTGTAGAATAGTTTGTACTTTTTCATGTTTTTATATATATACTGGTTCTCAGTTTTAAATAAATATCAGTTTATTTTGTTCATACATGAGCCGTTTTTATTCAGTTTTATTTCATTTGATCTTGATAATGAATGATATGTATGTGTATAAGGTCACTGGTTTAAGTCCCGGCTGGACCAGTTGGCATTTCTGTGTGGAGATTGCATGTTCTCCCCGTGTTTGCAAGGGTTTCCTGCGGGTGCTCTGGTTTCCCCCACAGTCCAAAGACGTGCTATATGTGAATTGGATTGACTAAGTTGGCCGTAGTGTATGAGTCTGTGTGAATGCCAGAGTGTATGAGTGTTTCTCAGTGTTGCGTAAAACATATGCTGTAATAGTTGGCGGTTCACTCCGCTGTGGCTACCCATGATAAATAAGAGACTAAGCCTAAGGAAAGAAAAACTAATTACATAATTAAATGAATAATTATTAAAATTAACACAATTCAAAATCAGATTGATTTGGCATATTTTAGGCTCCATATAGATACTCATGAACATAAATATTGTTTTTATGTTGTAAAGTGCAGGGTTCATGGAAAACCTGGAAAAGTCATGGAATTTTGACTTGCAGTAAATTGACTTAAATAAAATTTTATTTAAAGAAAAGTCATGGAATTTTAGTAGTAAAAATATGTATGAACCCTGGAAGTGGTCTTCTTTAATGTTCCACAACAGATGTAGAGACGTATAAAACTTTCTCATGGTTTTGTTTTCAATATTGTAATTCAGGTTTAAATATTGTAATACATTTTTCATTGTAAAATGTATACCTTGTTTTAGAATGTTCAGAGAAGATTCTAAAGTAACTTTTACATATTTTTTTATTGCTAAAATAGAATAAACCTTTCAAACAGCAAAAAGCTGTTTCGATCATTTGGCAAAAACATCATCATAGTGGGAATGACAGTAAAATGACAGTAAAATAATTGACACTGTACAAAAAAAAAACTTGGTTTCTTTAGTTTTTTTTTTTTTTACTTAGCACAATCAGCTAACAAGTCTCTAATTAAAATGAGGCAATGGAAACACCAATTGGAATAAAATCACACTGTTCTTAAGGCAGGATTGAATTGATGCGGTTTCAGTGTTTTTTTCTTTCAATGTAAACCATACTTATTTAATTTTAGTTGAACAAATGCAGATTTTGCGATCATTTTGATATATAAGTTATCTATAATAATAACATTTTCAGGGTGCAAAACTGGCAAAAAAATCTGATAAATTTTAACGTTTCAATGATAGAGTTGCTAATCTTTTAACATTTATTAAATGTTAGTTTCAGTGTAAATATTGATACAATTTTATTGAGTTAATGCTGATTTTGTGACCATTTCGATATAAATATCGCAGTTGAAATAACATTATCTCAGGGTGTTAAACGCTAAGATTGTTTCAAAAATAGTTTAATTGATCTTTTAACATTTATCCAATGTTGATTAAAGGTCTGCTATCTTGAAATGGTGGGCATTTTTTCTTCAACTTGTGTGTGTGTGTGTGTGTGTATATATATATATATATATATATATATATATATATGTGTGTGTGTGTGTGTGTGTGTGTGTGTTAAAATAAGCCTATCCTGCAAGGCTGCATTTATTTAATCAAAAATACAGTACACATTGCAAAATGTTATCGCACTATAAAATAACTGTTCAAAAGTAGTTAATAATGTAATAATTTTTTCCAGTGATTTAAAAGATGAATTATCAGTCTTCAGAGTCACATGTTCTTTCTGAAATCATTTTAATAATAATTACTTGTTATTATAATTATTATTAATAGTAATAATAATAAAAACAATAATGACTGGAGTAATAATTTTATTTGAACAGAATACTTAAAAAAAAAAAAAACCCGACCAATACACACTACCGGTGAAAAGTTTGGTATGTTATTCACACTCAATCAGATTTTCAGCCTTGATGACATCATGGAACCTCAGAGTTCCATTTGGAATAATGGCTAGTGCATCTACAGATGAGAAACCCTAGATCATCGACTGTGATTCAGAGTGAAAGATCGACTTTACAGCTTCAAAAGCCGATTTCTGCTGCATATCATGGATTTCAGGAAAAAGAAACCGTCATATATGCAGGAGGAATCAACAACAAGTAACTGCACATGCCAAAACACGGACTATATGAGTTAAAGGTTAATGCAGGCCATGTAATGTTAATTTCAACTCATCTAAGATTTATTAAAAAAAAAAAAACAAGGGGGTTCATCTCTAAGGTTTTTTTGATTAAATGAAAATTGCGATCACTTCAAACACCCACGCGATCTTAATTATAGCCTGTGATCGCGAGTTGAAGTAATATCATAATTTCTGGGTCAAAAACAGTCAAACATAAGTACTACCATAATTGATTAAGGTTTAGCTATGAACGCTGATGTTTATGGTAATTATATATATATAACCGTTTGAATGTGTTTGATGCTTTTTACTTTTATGGAATTATATTGTTGGCCAAAAGGTGGCGATAAAACTATAAATGTGTGTCGCTGAATAATATTGCAAAAGTGATTAATCCAGTAATGAACGTCTAAGCTAGTTATTGAATCATTAAAAAAATCCAGTTTAAATTAATGTTTGATGTTTTATATACATGTTGTATGATATATATATATCATACATATATATATATATATATATATATATATATATATATATATATATATATATATATATATATATATATATATTGTTCAGACTATGTCTCATACAAAAGCTTAAAACTGAGATTCTCCCATATTCAGTGATATGATGATACATTTGAGTACATATTTAAAAAAGAAAAATAATTTAAGAGAAAACTTTTCTTCCAATTCCTCCCCAGTTTCCCAGGTCTTACTCATTATTCTCCATAAAATAATCTACTATAAACAATTCATCAAGCATAGCACCAGTGTCTTGCTAATAATCTAGTTATAATTAGCCCTAAAATGGACTTAAAATAAGTTGGTTACGTTGACACATGTTGGACTTTAAAATGAAAGAAATCATTTCTGAAATTGCAGTGATGAGTGGAAAAATCTAAACAGAAAGCTACAGGTTGCAGCTTTTCTTTATTTCCAGGCACTGACCTGACTTTTGTTCATGTGAGAAGATATTAAAGTATGTTTGTATCTAATGATAGAAAAGAAATGTATTGACAGAATGACATGAGAAACAGGAGGTGTGTCTGTATGAAAAGTTAACCAAAGGACAATTGAAATAAGTGTTTAAGTAGCAAACCTCCATTATAACTTCTCTATAACATCATGACACAACTTCTGCAATGTGACTTCATCGACTTCATAAAGAAGAGTATGGCAGACTATGGCAGAAGACAGAGAAGTCACCAACAAGTAAGTTTTTAAATAAATGATAAATTTACACACACACACACACACACACACACATATCTTCACCGAAGTGCTGTTTAGCCACTAAAATCTTCCGAAGAAAGATTGATAAGACTATTTTCAGTTTCATGAGGGATCTTTTACAGAATCGATAAAGATTATAGTTAGTTTAACAACAAAACACAATACGACTATTCCGCCTAGTCTCTCCCTATATTGTTTACCATGCAACTCTAAATGTTCATTCTGAAATAGCATTTCAGTTTGGCTTGCATGCCGCTGGACAAGCACTAGTTTTTTTTAACACATGAGAGAGGGTTCTTTTGCTGTGCTCTTGTTTCAGGAGGCTTGGCTCTAGTTGGCAGGGGAGGGACTTTGATTCAGAGATTTATGCTTAGCTGTTAGCATTGTGGAAAATCACCTACTGCACCTTTAAACGTCATTAGAGAAATATTTGAAAATTTTTTAAAAGAAATCACAAGAGGCCTAATAATTTTGCCTTCAACTGAATATATACAGTGCTCAGCATAAACGAGTACTCTCCTCACAGATTTCTATAAGATGTTTTACAATATTATATTTGTGCATATACATTACATTTTGTCAGTAACAAAGCCAAAACTAATTTAATTAAATAATTTAAAATATTTTAATTAGTACACCCAAATTATTATGTTGGAAAAAAGTATTAAATACATTTTTATTAAACAGGTAAAATCAACATAAACATTTGATAAAATTGGCACTTTAACTTTATGGCACTTTGTTTCATAGCTCCTAGACTGGCTGTTGGTTCACCCCAGGTAAGGTGGTGGTGGGTAGGACACAGAGCACTCTCTTAAGTTGTCAAAAAATTACGAAAAAAAACTCCTTTTGCTATAAAATTGTCACCTCTACTCTCTCAAGAGTAGCAACTCTGTTTCAGAAATAAACAATAACCTACTTAACTGCTGAAATATACACTCGCCAACCACTTTATTAGGTATACCTCTTTAGTTCTGGGTTGGATGCCCTTTAGCCTTCAGAATTGTCTTAATCCTTCGAGGCATATATTTAACAAGGTACTGAAAAATTCCTCAGAGATTCTGGTCCATATATACATAATAGCCTCATGCAGTTGCTGCAGATTTGTTGGCTGTGCATCCATAATGCAAATCTCCCATTCTACAACATCCCAAAGGTGCTCCACTGGATTAGCTTCTGGTGACTGTGTAGACCATCTGAGTACAGTGAACTCATTGTCATGTTTAAGAAACCAGTTTGAGATGATTTGAGCTTTCTGACATGGTGCATTATTCTGCTGGAAGTATCCTTCAGAAGTTGGGTACACTGTGGTCATAAAAAGATGGACATGGTCAGCAACAATACTCAGGTGGGCTGTGGCATTGACACAATGCTCATATGGTACTAATGGGTTTAAAGTGTGGCATTAAAAATATAGGTGGATCCATGCTTTCATGTTGTTGATGCAAAATTCTGAATGAGCTTTTTGCTTGCTTTTTCCATCACCGTTTAAGCCCTTGTAACTAAATAAAAGGCGCCAATGTGATCGTGCACATCAGCGCGCAAAACACCAGGCACAAAAGCGTAATTTTTAAAGAAACGCCTCATCGCCTTTTTTGTTTTGATGCACCGCGTCAAAACCTTCTTCTCTAATCAGATTGGCTCTTTTGTTTACGTGCACGGAACTGCTGAAGT